CTTGCCTAATTTACTGGCACATGGTAAACATCTCTACTGATAGACCTTTAATACATGAAAAATTCCCATTCGAACATTAATAGACAGAAGACCAGCGAAGAGTCTCCTTTCGGCAAATTCATTTTCATAGCTGTACAATCGCAAATATATATGGTTGTTTTGTATTTGAGCGTACATTAAATTTGTCAAACGAAATATCCAAATGCAAGAGACACTATCCGTGCCAACAAAGATACTTTATATGAATCTCGACTTCAAAGGTAACCTACTCAGTGACGTCCTAAGAAGGAGAATTGCCACTTCTTTAAGAACTTTCCTTGTGGCAACATTAAGAGTAGTGTTCTCCAATCACCCGCTGATCTACAGAAGCCCAAAGGACAAGATCTTACACCTGACCACTTTTATGTGCATATATCAATTCACCTGTTGCTGTGGAGCATCCTATCAAAAAGGGTCAAAGAACACTATCCAGAGTGGCTGCAGAAAGGAAGTAATGGCCGTATAAGCAGTGCAATAATCGGACATCTCGTCAACACTGATCATTCTGTAACAACAGAAGATAAGGACCAGGCAACAGATCGTTTTATTACGGAAATCAACACGTATTTATATAAATTTCACATACATTATTATAGCCTAGTCAAGTAGACAAACGCAGTCTTCTGAATGTTTGTTTTCGAGTTCCTCGGAAAGTGAAGACATCTATCTGCGAATCACATTTGCCCACGTTTAAGTTTGCTGTGATTGGTTGTTGAAACAGACTTGTTCATATTTTCTCACCGCCCATGTTAGTGATCTAGACATTAACGTAGATTAATGTCAATCAATTGGCTAGCAGGCTGCTCTCACCACAATTCCATCTCAATAAACGCCTCCCGCTTCAAAGTAATCTACAAAGTGAAGAACAACCTTCCAAACACAATACGTTTCCGTCTTCTTTGCATCGCGGAACTCCTAGCCATTCAGTTGGAAGAACCAGAACTATGCACACAAAAGAAAATTATTCAAGCACTTCTACTCTCATGGTAATAACTCCGCTGATTTAACTTAACTTTTGTTTGTATGCTTATTTTTTTTAACTACCTAAAACCCTTGTGCAATTCCGTATATTATTTTGTTGCCATGTACACCCTGAACACAACACTTTCATCAAACTATTCATGCCATCACGTAACTCTTATTTAACAAACATTTATGACAACTCATCACTTTTGTTACTATCCCCTTATATCAACATCCAATTCATCTGAAATTACTAATTGTATTTTCGTTTGTCAAATTTAATGTACACACACACAAAACAACCATATATATTTGAGATTGTACAGCTGTGAGAATTAATTCGCCGAAAAGAGACCTTTAATAATCTGACATCGGGCTGCGAAAATCCAATTCAGCCAACATAAGGAACAGCATCTGAATACTGTACATTAATGTCAACATGGTTCAAAAAATTAATGCGTTACAAAAAGCATTCCCATCAGACTACTGAAACATTTTACCAACACCTGCTTCTGCCCATGTATCGAAGATCAGCCTACCACGACATATTTGCTACGAGGAATTCTGGCAAAGAATCAATCAAGACCTACTGTCTAACACATACGTCGTAAGAAATGAATACGAACGGGACACACAATAAAGATAGCATTTAATAATAATAATAGCTACATTATGGACAGTGTTAAAGCGACTGCTCCAAACTAAATGGCCTATTTATCAAAAATCAGCCAGTGGTCCAAGGAAAACGATCTAACCTTAAATCCCTCTAAATGCCAAACAGTCAATTTCACATGTAGGCATAAATCTGACCTAAACAAACTGGTTAGCACTCACGAGGTGTGCAACATAGATGGCACTGAAATAGAGACTAAGTCGGAAATTAAATATCTTGGCGTCATTCTATCTACTGATCTTTCCTGGTCGTCTCATATCTTGATGATTTCTAAGAAAATATTCCGTCTTACCTTCTACATCAAGAAGTTAAGATATTCTGGAACAACTCAACCCTTACTCCTACGATTCGTTAACTCTTGCATCCTGCCTATTATTCTCTATTGTCCTCTTTAGTTTTTCTAGGGCTACTGAAGAAAGACTATATCTTATTACACAGGATGTTAAGGGTTGTCAGCAGGGTAAGCTACGTGCCACTTAACCAGCTTCTTAATATTCTGGTTGACAGGCACTTGGACTCATGCGAAAAATGAGCTAAATCCATTCTACCTAACTCACACCACCCTCCTCATTCACAACTCTCTCCTTGTATCTCACCAGGCAGAACCACAAGCCTATATAGGAAACTATATGCTCAAACTAGCAAGTACAAAAACTTAGCCATACCCTACTTAGCTCGTGTTCTGTGCGATAAAGAAAGCATTAGACATGATACCTATAACTTATTAAATAGTCAGTAGAACAACTGGATCTCGTCTTTCCAACTCATATCATTTATAGGTACAACGTTTTTCTTTCTTTCTTTTCCTTTTTTCTCTCTCTTTTTTCTGTTATGTGAAAGCTTTGTTTCTTTCTTCCTTACAAACTCTATTGAAAACATTCTTCTTCGTTCGTTCGCACTCATTATATCTCGACCTTTTTGTTACCGCTTACGCCAGTAAATATGCTAATATCTACTTTTCTGACACCTTCAAACACTCTGTTCAATGCTTGACTTTGCTACCAACATGCTAATATGTTGTTGTCAAAACGAACTGAGATTCCCCTTAATCTATGTAGAATTTTATGTATTGTTAATGTACTAAATGGATGCAATACTGTAGTAAAATGTTGAGAATTCCAGTCTGTATCACAAGTACTGTTTTGGAATAAAGCAAATTATTATTATTATGTACGGAATCTTCGCTGAAATTTACCACGTAATCATTTTCCTTCTTCTAGGATCCTCGAGTAAAATAGAAAGTGACAGTTTACAGTGTGACAAAATTCTGTCTAACCTGAGGCACAAACTTATCTCTTTTATGATATTTCTCCTCTATCTCCTTCGAGAAATGCACATTTTTTTGAAAGCCAGTGAGAAAAACTGCATAAGTGAATGATCAGAGAGTGTAGGTTGGGTAGTTTTATTTGTCATGCAATGGTAGTCTGTACTAAAACTTTGAGGAAGTCCTACTCACTGCCTTCACGTGTGGTGTTTTTCACCAAGTGAGAGGGCAGAGGCGGATGCCGGCTCTCTTCACCGGATTGACTATCCATTGGATGACAGTCTAGGGGAGATGGCTAAAACCTGATTCCAAACTCCAACGACTGGCATATGAAGCTCACTGGAGCTCACAGGCAGACGTATGGACAAAGGGCTTATTGGATGCCCTGGATGACTGGCCCATTCAAAAAGGCGAATGAACCGGACTCCGGTCACCGGCTCCCAATGGATAGTGGACTCCCTACTCCACTCCTACTGCGTTGTAGGTCACACTTGGTTGTGTAAAGGCTAGAGCTGCACTCTCAAACAAGGGCCGAGCGATGGTGGGGACATCACTCGTACCCAATTCCCATGAAACTTCATGGTTCATGAAGCCGGCTCATCCTCCGTGGGAGATAGCCGAAGTAAAGTAAAGTAAGTAAGCAGGAACAATTATATCATCTATTGGGATACACTGTCACTCACACACACACAAGCATGTTTCCACTCAAGTTTAGTGAAAACTTGCGAGTTGGTAGGTTGTACACATTTTAAATAATCGGGAGAGCAACAAATACCATTAGAGTTCAAATTTTAACAGATAGAACGATAGAAATCTTTGGTAGCTTAAGTTTTAAGCAGACTGCTGTGACGTCATGAGTCAGGCCCTCGAGTGGAACACGGATGAGAAAAGATGAGTTGGGTGTCACTCCGAAGGTGACATGGAGGAGATCTTGTCGTCAGGAGATGACAGCTTATGAGCAATCGTGGACCCAGCTATAGACGAAAATGCATAACAATATAATAATAACCGCTACTGAAACTTCAGAAGTGAATATGGTATAATATTACCTATCAATCGATGATATATGTCTGATTTGCCACAAACTGAAGGAAGATATGCAAGTGATGAAAAGCAAAAAGTTGGCAGAAAAAGCATCAAAGATAAACCTTCAGGTGAACACAGAGAAAACAGAGGTGATGAAGATTCCTGGCCAACAGCAACAGTAAGGACAACAACAGACAACAATCAGTCGTCGTAAATGGAAGAAATCTGAAAGAAGAAACCTCCTTCACCTGGGAAGCATCGTTTCAACTACAAGCGGAAGGAACTGATGAGGATATCAAAGCAGCGAGAGTGGGGAAAGCAAGACAAGTTTTCGTTACTCTCAAGTCTATGCGGAGGCCAACCCTCAGCACTCAGCATGAAAAATTAGATCCGGATTTTCAACTCCAATGTGAAGTCAGTCAATGCTACTTACTATACGTATCAGAGACTTGGCACAGCGTTGTGTCACGAAGGGCAAACTACAGATCTTCATCAACAGCTACCTGTCTTCGCCCAGTACTACTCAAGATCAGGTGGCTGGCCAGAAAAGATCAGCAACAGAGAGGGATCTCTGGCAATGAACGAATCAACCCATCAGGAACCAATTGTACAAAAAAGTTTCAGGAAGAGATGGAGGTAGGTGGATTGTAGTAATACTCTGAGAAAACAAACCATCAAGTGAGTGACACCTCACGCCAGTCCATTGCTCGAGAGGAACCCGACTGAATGGGAAGCGGCGAGTCAGTTGGTCATCAGTGCGACTGTGACATGGAGGAAGTGATTCCATGAGGAGATAAAAGCATGAGGGCAGACGTGGAGCCAGGCGAAAACGTGTGGTGGAGAACCGAAGGCGATGGAGACATGCGGCTGAATCCCTATGTTCTTGTAAAAATTAAGCGATCAACAGAAACAATCCTTAATGACAAAATAGGTGAAATGCAACGAAATGGTACTGTTTTGTAAGCCTTAAGAAATGATTTAATATGTATAAAAAAGCAGTAATGACCATTTAATATTGTGAAATTTGAAACTTACAAAAAAATCTACAAGTTGTATGATAATTTCACCTTGACGTTTTCTAGCCAATATCTCTTCATACTTGATTTTATGTTCTTCACTTAACTTTTGTAAATCACTAGGCGATAAAGTTGAACTTTGTTTTGTAAAATCTGGGACACTTCTCCTCTTCATATTCTACAACCAAATAATAACAATAATAAGAGTGATAACAATTTGAAATGAATAATTATAGAATTATTTAAATATGTACTTCGTGAATTTAGTAAACTTAGTAAATTGCACAGTACTAGACTGATATACAGTACTGAAAAGATTTAACAAGTAGTATACCGTGTATGATGTCTTCTACAAGAATCTAGAATACGCGAGTAATGGAGTATGTTGCAAAGAAGATAAATGAAAGATCGTTGTAAGATGATTTATAGAAGGCATGAATGAAACAAGAAAACAGAATTAGGAACAATGCGAAGAACATGGGCAAATGAAGATTTCAAGGAGAAAGGTTCATGTATTTTGCCATCTCTGCCCATCATTGACACCATGGTAGTAGTAGTGTAACGACAGAAGACAAGGGCTAGGAAACAGATTGTTTATTGAGAAAATCAACAGATATTTATGGATTTTTATGTACATTATTATTAGCGTTATTGTTAGCAGAGAGGCAACGTCTTCTGATTGGTTGCTTTCTTGCTGATGGTTATTCTGTAATCTCTTTGTTGCTGTTTATTAGACAGTCCGGTGATATATATATATCTCCGAATCGTATCCGCCCACGCTAAGCCTGCTGTGATTGGTTGTCGAGTTACTAGTTACAAGTGTCCAATCAAACTACCCACTACAGTCCCACAGGAGGTCAATCGCCAACCTGAATAGCTCAGTGGCAACGGCTCTGACTGCAGTACTCACTGGGTGACGCGGGTTCGAATCTCAGGAGTGACATGAGTTCCTTCAAGGTTGCAAATATGCACTGCTGATTGGTGAGTGCCAACTAGCACGAAACCTAGGTTCAAGGCTTCCCAACGATTGCCTCCAACTGTCTTATAATGAGGATAACGTGCTTGGAAGGTAACGCTAAAATAAGTATTTTTTATATAATGGGAAAACAAATTTCTTGGATGGTAAGAACTAGCTGTGGGATTCAAGATGAGTATCTCGTTTTGTCTCAGACTCATCTACTGGATGCACCTGCAGGTGGACCCACTGACTGAGGGTATTCCCAATGAGATTCGAAACCTGAAACCCGAGGATGGGGAAAGCGAGGTAAACTTTCATTATTCTCAAGACTGTGTGGAGACCAATACTCAACACAGTATGAAAAATAAGATCCGGATTTTCAACTCCAATGTGAAGTCAGTCAGTGCTACTATACGGATCAGAGACTTGACGCGTCATAAAGAGCACTTCAAACAAACTACAGACCCTCATCAACAGTTGGCTGTCTTCGCTCAATACTCAACATCAGATGGCCGGCCAGAAAAGATTAGCATCAGTGATCTCTGGGAGCGAACCAACCCAACAGGAATCGATTGTGCAATAAATATGCAGTAAGAAATGGAGGTGGATTGGCTATACTCTGAGAAAACAAACCATCAAGTGACATCAATAGACAAGCCGTCGCTCGAGTAGAACCCGAAAAAGAAGCGGCGATTTGGTCGTCAGTGCAAGGGTGACTTGGAGGAGATCTCGTAAAGAGGAGATGAAAGCATGTGGGCAGACCTGGAGCCAAGTAAAAACGTTGGCAGAGAACCGAACGCAATGAAGACGTGCAGCTGAAGCCCTATGTTCCTCTAGGAATTAAAGGAAATAATAATAATGCTAATGAACATCATATACCCAATGCTAAATTTTTTTCAAACTGTTAAAAGTGAACTTGGTTTGGACATATATATTAAGAACATAAAGCTAAATAGGAATTTACTCACCTGACATAAATTTACTTGTGATTCTTTAAAATATGTAGGCAGTTCTAATATTGTATCCTGTGGATCTTCAAGTAGAACATTAGCAACAACTAATGGTGATGATTGTTTACATCGTTGTGGAGATTGAAGTCGTTGATTAGTCATCCCTGTAGGCGTAGATATACGCGGAATACTACCATTATTATTATTATTATTCGCTAGTGAAGCAGTATTGATATCTGTATCAATTCTGTTAGAATTATCTTTTATATTTGATAAATTTGATGGGATAGGTAATGTAAATGTACGTCTAGTGTAGGGGGAGGTCGAATGTGAGGAGGAAGAGGATACTGGTGAGGATGTAGTCTTTATACCTGAGTTTGTTTTAATCTGAGAACCTGGAGGTGTTAATGGAGATAATAATGGAGGCGTAGACGATGAAGACGGTGAGAGTAGTTGTTGCGGTGGTGGAGTTAACGATGATGGTTGTTGACTTGAACTTGAATAAGTCTCTGTAGGATAGGCATATGCTCTTTTACGAATACCATTGTCTACTAAATATATAATCGATTGATTATTAATTGATGGATAATTGGAGAGATTTTCATTCCCCTGATCATAGTTGACATTGACATTAATAATGTTCATTTCATCATTTGTAGTATCGTCTCTTTGAGAAGTCCAACTTTTCGATGATGTAACTGGTGACGTCAGCTCACCCCATTCATAAGCGTATGAATCTTGATCATTCTAAACAGTTTTGTTTTCGTAAATTGTATGAATAAACAAATAAAACTGAAGTAAATTTGAGGAGAGCAAAACACAGAATAAATGGATAAATTCTGTAAGAAAGACTTTATGCCATCAGTCAAACTATCGTTCCAATTTCGAAATCTCAGCATGTATTTCTTCAAGAATCGATATTAGTAAGGAAATTAGTGACAACCAAGCTGCATAAGATAGCTGATTCTGTTTGATATGGGACTCGCCAGCATTTCAGCACACTGGCCGAATGAAGAACAAGCTGAAGATCTTAAGTCAGTGGCTCCCTAGCTGACGTTGATTTGTAATTTTCTTTGTTAGATGACTGGAAGCAATCGGTATGAAGTTCATTGGTGGATGGTGACAAGTAGTGAAATCCATGATGAGCTGATATCAGTTAGAGAACCATTGGAAAACCACCTAGGGGTACTGGACAGCTCTTTCGTCAGCCTAGTTTGGAAATCTTCATCAGTACGCACCCACACCACGGAGTTCCAACCCAGGACCTTCTGGTTACAGGCAAGGTCGTAAACCATTGAGTCACTGGACTCGATCCAGTGGTCCTTGGATTCTAGCTTCTGCTAATTCATGACATAGCGCCATCATCTCGTAATGTCTTCTTCGATGAGTTACTGTCTCATCTTCAACCTGCTGTTGTACCCTACTGGTCATGGCTTCCCACTAGAACCCCAGGGTAACTTCCTGAATAGGGCCAGTCGCTAGTGAGCATCAGATTAATTTTCAAGTATTGGTTTTGTAGGAATTTTGTTTGAATGCGTGTAGGATGTTATCGTGAGCTGACATCAGTTAGAGTACTATCGGAAAACCACCTGGAAGTACTGGACAGCTGTTTCGTTAGCCTAGTTTGGGACTCTTCAGCAGTACGCAGGTTTTCCAGTGGTCCTCTAACTGCTGTCAGCTCATGATGAAATCCTACATGCAATCAAACACAGTACCTACAAAACTAATACTTGAAAAGTAAATCCATGATTCGCATTTCTTCCTATTTGGGGCTTGTCACCTGGATGTACCTGCATTCCGCAGTGAGTGAGTGATGACGGTCTCACCGAGGCTCAAACCCAGTGCCCATGGCTTCAAACTCCAAAGTGTTATCCCTAGACCACCTGGGCCACGAGAGCCACATTTTGTGCAACAGGTCTTATCAATTACTTAATTTAACTTAAGATTTTCCCGTCAATTGATTAAACCACTACTAGTCACCATCCACTAATTAATTGACTTCTAATCAGATGCCCAGACATTGTGGAAGAATCTGCGCAAGAAGCCAACAGACATATCAACCTGAGACGGAGCACTTCGGTTCAATCAACGAGACGAGAAAATCTAAAATTGAATTAAATAGGTATGAAACTTTCAATCTAGGTTTCGTGATTATTTGGCACTCATCAGTCAGCATGGCAGCCATCTGCAGTCTGGAGGGAACCCATGTGCCGTCTGAGATTTAAACTTAGGCTACCTAGTGCTGCAGACAGAAACGATACCACTGAGCAGCTACTCGGCCTCAGGATCGAACTCCTGTAGGAGTGTTATGGATACCGTAACCAGACATTAGAGATTACCTACTACTATTGTACATCAAGTCCATTACATTCCTACACTAGATCAATAAACAACCTGAATAGCTCATTGGTAACATCTCTGACTCCACTACTGAGTGATTGGTGTTTTGGATCTCAGGAGCGAAATGAATTCATACAATGATTACAGATTCGCTTTGCTGACTGACTAATGAGTGTCAACAAGTAGCAGGGCTTTCTACAGATTGCCTCTGACCATCTTAAAACAACAACACCGTAATGGCTCGCCAAAAGATTTCCCTGTTGAACTTCATGTCCTCTTCTTTCATGGATCCAAGTGACTGTAGGTCGTGGTACTTTGAGATCCATTGGTATTTCTGACACTATTCCTCAGTCTGCTCCTAACTCTAACCATAAGCTTAACTTTAACCCAAAACCAAATCTTAATCCTGGACCCTTAACCTTAATCTTAGAAGCCATAACTCTACCTGACAGTGTAGATTTGTAGAAAATGTACCTGGTAAATAAGTAGAATACTGTTTCTATCCTCTTCAAGACCAAAACGACAGGCATGATTTGATTTGGAATGATCGGTCCCAGAAGGTCAACTTTTGAAAGACCTTGAGTTTGGGGCTATGATACTTCAACTTCGCCAAGTATGTGTTACATTAAAATTCAAACTACTGGTTTCAAGTTTCATCACAGATCGATATCAGTTACAGGAAGCACTGAAAAGATGATTATTCCTAGTTTGCGACTCCTTAGCAGTACGCATCCACGACTGCGCATTGGGGATCAAACTGTGAGCTTTCAGCTTACAGCGTCAAGTCCATTGACCATATCTTAAACATCGATATCCAGCTCATTGATGATTATTACATAGGTGTACTGAATCTGTATTGAGAAATCGTTCAACATGTAAGGGTAGAGTGCTTGCCCACCGAAATCACTGGTTAGAATTCTCCCCTAAAATGGTTGGACGGTCAACTACATTCACCTTGAAAGCTGAAGATTACTGACTATGTCACAATTCGTTGAATGTTGAAGACAGTCAGTCAGTAGGGTGAGTGGTGTCCCAGTGGACCACCACATAGTTAACGTCGCTGTCGATAGGCACTTGACTTCGTGCAATAAATTTGCTAAAGGGATTTTGTCGTCTGACTTGGAGTATCCACTTTACCTTCAGCTGCTGTCACCTTGTATCTCCTCAGGTAGAACAAGAAGTAACTTCAGAAAACTGTATGCTTGCACGTTTAAGTGTAAAAATTCTATGATACCATACTTGGCACGTATTTTATGTGATGAAAATAGTGTCAGGAAAGAATTAACTAACCTTTTTTCATCTAGTAAATAAGCAATTTCCTCCATCCATCCATCCTTATATACCTTGAAGTTTTACTTTTTAATATTTCTATTATATTTATGGTCCTGTTGCTTCTTTGTTTTACTTTCATAATTGCAAACACCAACTGATCTCTATGACTGCTGTAATCTTTGTTTTTCCCCTCACCATATCATCATGTAAAGAGAACATTATATTCAATATTTTTAAACCTGCTAGGATTTCTATACCGCATTGACAATACTGTGTGAAACAAGCCCACGGCAATTTTCACTTGTATTATTATTATTATTACCTTAGCTGTTATCACTATTATTATTATTATTGTTATTTCCATTTTATATGCTGCAAGTTTTTGACATTACCCCTATTGTAAATGTGGAAAACTTTCTGTGTGATTAATTTTATTTATAATTTGAGGAAATTAGATGCAATATTGTGATTAATGCTGAAAATTCCATTCTGTATCACAAGTACTGTTTTTGGAATAAAGTAAATTATTATTATTATTATGATGATGATGATCAGACACCCTGGCGGAATTGTGAGTTCTCTATGATGAAGAGTCCAAAACGAATACGAAACAGGTATCCAATGCACCCTGGTCCTTAATGATCTGCAACTGCTGTTTGTTCATGACGGAATAATAATAATAACGTAAACTATCAACACTTACGGCTATTCCATTTTCTTTAAGTGTTGGTAAATTAGAACATTTACTTAAATCCAGCGGAGGTTGTGTTGAAAATCCTGGTAATGTTCTACGTCGTACAAGTCCTCTGCCAGTTTCATGCGCTTCATCTGTATGCGAATATGTTGATGTCTTAACATCATAACCACTTAAGAGTTCTGTGTTGAAGGCATCTGGTGAATGCATTGAAGACTTCAAAGTGTTTACGCTTCGAGGTTGTATAAGCCTTTCTGTTGGCCATTGATATTCATCATTTGAAGCAGGAGATCGTTTCGGTGTTATTTTATATTGACCAAAGTGATCATCCATAACTGTTGTATTTGACATTAATTTATTCAGCGGAATTACTGGAAGTTCTGATGGAGGTTTAAGCATGTCAACTAAAGTATGGGAGATATGAAAAAGAGAAAAAAAAATCCCCATTTAGACATTTAAAATGGCAAAAAGATTGATCCTCATCTCTCTCTCTCCCTCTGGCTATACTCTGAAGTATATTAGCATCTGTATGATATGATAAGAAAAATTTTACCAATCTTTAGTGGCGATATATTTGTTAACAATAATTACTTAGTATCAACATGTCAGACAGAAGTGATAATCAACACAGAAAATTAATACACACGATGAAAGGGTAGAAATGGTTACAACCAGTGGGTTGTATCATGCATAATTTGAAAAAAATGAAGAGTAATTGAGGAATAAACGAGTGCTCAAGTTGATTACCTAATAGGCAACTGAAGGAAAATAAGGAAAATACTAGCCGATGACATTGGTTAGTTTCCAGTCACGCCATATCGTGCATTGGAAGAAGTTGGAATTCACGGGCTAGACATTGGCTGCGGTCCCAGTGAGTGGCTTAATGGTCTACGAGTTAGCTCACCTTGTAACCAGAAGGTCCTGAGTTCGAACCCTGGCGGTGGGTGCGTAATGATGAAGAGCCTTAGACTAGGCTGACGAAACAGTTGTGTCCAGTACTCTCAGGTGGTTTTCCAATGGTTCTCTAACTGATATCAGCTGATGATAAAATCGTGAAACCCAGTCAAATCCCTGCAAACTAGCACTTGAATGCAAATGAAATAGTTTGTACAATTACAATCTCTAAGAGACCTATGAGGAGGGTGAAACATGTAACGATGCCCAAGGCAAAGAAAGTGACTGTAGGAATTCCCTTTGACCACAAAGTTTTGGCTTCTTCAGGTGGATTCTATGCCTTCAATTGTATGTAGGAGAGAAACTTATAAAGCAAATATTAGATCCAGTGAGATGCGATAAATAACTTTAAATGCTGTATTAGCATCAACTTTATGCTCACCATCTACAAGGTGTGCTAAAACAGAGCTGTTATGAATAGATCTTGTTTGTTCCTTGCTTAACCATGCATGCTGATATTCGGGAATACTATGATGAAGCTACCTAACTGTACACCCAATGTAGCTGGCTCCTCAGCTACAGTCAAACTGGTAGCTGTACATAGAGCAGGGGAAGTGAATTGGTTTATCCTTATTTCTAGAAGGTAAAACTGGAGTGGTTGTAAAGATATCTAGTATCTGTATTGCACTGAAAGGTCTCTTAACTGCATTGTTTAGGCGGTGTGCTATTATTACGCTGATGTTATCACCACAAGGAACCGCTGTCCTACTGGCTTTTTTGGTGCTAAATTCATATTTTTTTTCAATGAACTTATCTGGATAACCATTTTTGCTGAGAAATACTCTGATGATCTTAAACTCCTCATTGAGAGAGTCGTTCGAGCTGTATGAACCAAACACTTTACCAAGTTCCCTTTATATTTTAAAATTGCAAAACTCAAAAAATGAGTGTGCTGACCTGCCCTTGTAGGTTTCCTACACACACTCCTTCTTAGTGTGCCATCTTCTCTCCTTGCCAGGAAGACGTCTAGGAATGAGGTATTATCATTACTTTCTTTCCCTATGGTAAAGTTTATTGCCGAATGCGCATCATTAAAAATAGGTTAATAAATTTTTTGTATTGTATTTGAAGTGCAATATGTATATATTAAAGTAGGGTCAGAGATGAAGATCTAACTCTTTTGCCTTCTATATGTATTTATGCATTAGTGAAAACAAAGGATACCAGTATAATATTGTCACCAGTGGTTAATCTTTGTTGACTTGTTGAAAGCATGGCGACTTTAAAGTTCCTCTGTCGGATGCTTGCCAAACTGTCTAGTACACAATGTGTAGACCACATTCTAGTAGAATTTTTATTCTCTAATTCTATTAACTTCATGGCTAAATGTGACTAGAAAACCAAAAACTATCAGTTCATTCAGGCAACTAGCAGGAATTTCAGTGGCTTCAAGTGATCCAGCCTCCTGAAACGAGTCTGCTGGGGATACAAACAGATGATGTAGCCTACTCAAAATGAAGAGAATAACCGTTCAATTTTCAAACCACTTCTCTCTGTCTAGTATGCACTACTGTTTGACATAAGTGGTCATTAACTATTCATATCAGACAGTCAGTAGTACATACCGTTTAGAGATTTAGAGTTGCTCACTTAATCCTAATTGAAGTAACGTTCTGATGACCTCAAGAACACTGGAATGCATTCAGTCGATATTCAAATCGACGACGTATCAGTAAAACTAAAGCAAAGCACAATCTCATCTCTTAGTTTTTAACGAGATTTCATCGTAATAAAATGTTTGCGCAGATGATCAGCAATGCGTTGACGTCTCTGTGTGATTATTAAAGTTGAGTGGGTTTGTAATAAAATAGGGAGAGAAGAAGAGGTTCTACTGGAATTTTACTGCTTGCAAGCATGAGACAGCAATGATAGTCAGAAACGACATCTCTGCTAACGATCTAAGCAACCCTTATCACACAGAAAATATGTCGAAGAAAATGAAAATAGATTGGAAATCCACTGAGAAGACCACTTAGTGATATCACACCACACCACCATGCCTTCGAAGGAGAACTAAAATCGGAGGACAATGAGTTGCGCATCATTTTGAAGGTGATATCGAGAAGATCAAATAAGAAGGGGGAATGAAAGCTTATATACACCTGCATTTAACTCTGTTCCTAGGTTACTCTTGCTAAGTAAGCTTGCTGCAATACAGGCTGAGAGCTGGACAAATAAGTGGCTACATTCCTATTTTTCTGATAGGAAGCAGTACACCGTCTACAATGGAAAGTCCTCCACCACCTCACTTACTTTAGCTGGTGTTCCTCAAGGTGCTGTTCTTTCTCCTTTTCTGTTTTCTTTTTTCTACTATGATTTGCTTCATTCTGATGTAGCCACTTTTGTTAAGTGTGCTGATGACCTCTCTGTTTTTATGCCTGTCAATTCTCAGTCAGATTGTTCCAAATTAAATAACTTTCTGTTGGAAATTAGTCAGTGGTCCTCTTCAAAAGGTCTTGAGCTAAATTTATTTTTATTTTTGATTACAGCTTGATTCCACACCGTATTTTTGGTACAGGTATGGAATTTTCAGCGTGGATATCTGTAGCCCAAATTTGCAGGCCGACCATAGATATCAGGTGTGAGTCGGCGTGGGCTCAAATCCCAGACCATGTGCATGGTCGGCGAGAGTCCTAACCACTGTGCCTCCTAAGCACCGTCTAAATGTCAGGTAGTCAATTTCACTTTCAGACGTAAACGTGACCTAGTAGGGCAAGTGGGATATCGTTAAACCAACTGGTTAACACTATTGTGGATAGACATATAATGTCATGTAAGAAACTAGAGAATACAATATTTTCAGACCCCGAGCATCCTCTCTATACGCATCTGTCTCCTTGCATTTCATCTGGTAGAACTAGAAGCAGCTATAGGAGGCTATATGCTAGGACTACCACAAAGTAAAAAAACTCCACAATATCATATCTGGCACAGCTGTTATGTGGTGATGAGAAATCCGTTAGGTATGACACACACGATCAACTTACTGCGGCACTCTAACAAATAGTCCCATTAGTTTTTGTTTTCCTTTCCTCGTTACTATTACACTGTTGTTCACATCTCCTATTACACACCAATTTTATACTTCATATCCTGTGGTGCATTATTTGAAATGTAAACGCAACACTGTTTTTTTTATTTATCTTTTTTTGGCGTTGATTTTTGGTTTAAAAATCTTATAAAACTGCTGAGGTAATTAGATGCAATATATATTGTAATGCACGCTGAAAATTCCATACCTGTAGTACAAATACTGTTTGGAATAAGGCTGTTATTGTTATTATTACAGGCGGCTTAAATGACTGTAAAGAACAAAGTGAAATGAAGATTTACTCCTGAAGAGGTATGTTCCACTTGAAAGCCAAAGGAATAATAATACAATAATAATCATGTTATGAACTTTCCAAGACTGGGTATACAAATGCTTCGGTCTTTCCTGCGATTATTTTACAATTCAGACTAATAGATCTTTGAGTGAACATCAGAAGGATTGTTATTATTAATTATTAGGTCCTGAGTGAAACATGTAGATTCAACAGAAAATCTCCACTTCGCCCTATTCTCTGTGGCTCTCTTTAGCCCGCACCATGACTGCGCATTGTCTCTCACCTCCTTCTCGCACAACTTCCTCCCTATCACCTTCTAAGTTACGCCCAACTCGTCGTTTCCCATTCGTCTTTCATTTGAGCCATGGCTTAGTGCGCTATATCACTCGGTGGTCTCCTCAGCTTGTGTCCGAACCATGCCTGTTTTCTTCTCAATAATTGTTGAGCGATAGGTTCCTGATTGGTTTGTTCCTATAGTTTCTTGTTGCTAACTATTTCTGCAGCGAGGGCAACTGTTGACAAATGTCTGACGTAGCCCATTGGAAACGCTTTTTATGATTCAGGTACCAAGTTTCTGACCCATGTGGAAGATCGTCATAATCGGAGCTCGCATGTAGAAGAAGTGACTGGCATAACATTGGTGTTGAAAATCTGAATTCTGCTCTTTCTTCTGAGTGCAAACGTTTTCTGAACTGGTTTCAAAGTGATGAAGGTCATTCTTGCCTTTGCTATCCTGACTGGCTTTGACATCTCCATCCATGTTTCCGCCTATAATTGAGATGATGCTCCTTAGATAAGTGAAGAAAATTACCTATTTCAAATGTGTTCTGTTGATAGTTATTTATGCTTGTTGTTGTTGTCAGCTCCTTATTTTCATCACCTCCGTTTTCACTGTGTTCCCTTGAAGACCTATTTTTGTTACTGGCCTCTTTTATCAACTTGTTGGTCTTCACCTGTAAATCTTCGAGTTTGTGTGAAATTAAACATAAATCACCCGCAAAGTTCACATCTTCTACAGTCTACTTACCTGTCAAGTGTATTCCTGTCATCTTGCTTCCTACAGCCCCAGAAGTAATCAAGTCCATCACAATTAAAAAAATATAATCGTGGGTGATAAAAGACAG